CCAAGGGGGAATTAGCTGATGCAGAGGAGGAATGAGCTGATGCAGAGGAGAAATCAGCTGATGCAGAGGAGAAATCAGCTGATGCAGAGGAGGAATCAGCTGATGCAGAGGAGGAATCAGCTGATGCATAGGGGTATTGAAGGAAGAGATGTACTCAGAAGACGACTGGTTATTGAGCAGTTACAGCACTGATTCACGTCATTTTCAATTAGATACACAATAATACACATCCACTAATTTGCAGTAAACAACCATTCTTCGCTGTTCATTTAGAAGCTAGTGTTGTATTCCAGGTCAACTACATGAAAAACGTTCAATAAATAAGTTAACCCACCAAAAAAGGAAGGATATGGAATTTTTTTTATTTTGTAGTCTGAGACACTACATTCATTGAAATCCCATTACGTCACTTGGTTGAATAAATCATACGTACCAATATGTGGTTTCATCATAGTGTAATAAACTCTCCAGACAGCATCTAACGACATATTACTATCTAGGTATATAGCACCAGCCACAGATTCAAACACATCACCCAATGCTTTCGGCACTTCGATATCTTCACGCTCTTCCCCGTCCTCCTCTTCGTCTTCATCATCCGAGAAATTACTGTTCAGCTAAAAAATATAGAAGGAACTAGATAACTTATTCTCATAGCAGCAGGTGTGTGTAAACCAGTGGATAACATTATGGACAACGTAGTGCACATTATAGGATCAACGCATACAATACTCGTACGATGTAGTGCACATTATAGGATCAACGCATACAATACTCGTACGATGTAGTGCACATTAAAGGATCAACACATACAATACTCGTACGATGTAGTGCACATTAAAGGATCAACACATACAATACTCGTACGATGTAGTGCACATTAAAGGATCAACACATACAATACTCGTACGATGTAGTGCACATTAAAGGATCAACACATACAATACTCGTACGATGTAGTGCACATTATAGGATCAACGCATACAATACTCGTACGATGTAGTGCACATTATAGGATCAACACATACAATACTCGTACAATGTAGTGCACATTAAAGGATCAACACATACAATACTCGTACGATGTAGTGCACATTATAGGATCAACACATACAATACTCGTACGATGTAGTGCACATTAAAGGATCAACACATACAATACTCGTACGATGTAGTGCACATTAAAGGATCAACACATACAATACTCGTACGATGTAGTGCACATTAAAGGATCAACACATACAATACTCGTACGATGTAGTGCACATTAAAGGATCAACACATACAATACTCGTACGATGTAGTGCACATTATAGGATCAACACATACAATACTCGTACGATGTAGTGCACATTAAAGGATCAACACATACAATACTCGTACGATGTAGTGCACATTAAAGGATCAACACATACAATACTCGTACGATGTAGTGCACATTAAAGGATCAACACATACAATACTCGTACGATGTAGTGCATATTATAGGATCAAAGCATACAATACTCGTACGATGTAGTGCACATGCTCAACCCACTACTTATGGGGCATTTCTATTTTCAGGGTCTGGTCATGTTCGGCAAAGTGCCCATCCCCTCCAAAATATCCCAAATTTGATGAGTCAAACAACCTGGTCTTCAATCATTATTTGACTCTCAGAATACCGAAAATCGAATTTATATAATACAGCATAGATAAAGACCAAAAGTGAATATGTTGTGAATGCATACAATCTGTTGAAAACCGTGAAAGGCGGTAAATACTTTAGTGTAATGGTACCTTTCAAAAAATTGCTAATTACCAGATTTTTCGTCAAAATCAATTCCAAAAGATTGTACTTTGACATCGTTAATTTCGCATTGCGTTTTGCTGGAGGTGCTTGGCTAAGCATTAACCTCTGGAATACCCTGGTTACTAAATCGAATGAGTACAGTATTATCTATTTCAATTTTCATTGGTACATACATTAAATTGACCAGGAGAAAAATTTCCTAACTTACTGCTGCATTTTTTAAAACAAAACATTTGATTATTTTCATCATATTGTAAAATGCATAAATTATTTGCAGCATTTTAATTTTGCTAACGAGTAAAATGCATGTGAAATAACATAGAATGCTGGTAATCTTGCGAACTAAAAACACAGTGAATATGCTAAAAATATCAGAATAGTGAAATCAAATGGTTTTACACATTTCTACAACTGAGAGCATGAAACTGACTGAATATTCAGAGTACACAGTTTAATATAATATACAGTTGTGAAATGGGAGAAATAGTCAATAAATTATTATGTATTTGTGCTAAATTGCATTGAAAAAAAAAAATAGCCTTCAATTCCAGGGATAAAACATTATATGTTTAACCTTACCTGGGAATCTATACCCTGAGTTTCCTCTGTCGCATGTTGGAATTTCACAAAGTTGTCGATAACATGGAAGAGCTCCGGAGCTATTGCTTTAAAATACTTGTGATAGTCGTATTTGACGGCCAAGGAAGCAAAGATTGTGTTGTTGACAAGAGCTGACCTGAGATCTGTCAAAGCGCCAGGTGAATGATGCTGGTGATGATCGTATAGATGCTTTGTTATGAGGTAGTCAAGAATAGCATCCCCAAGAAATTCAAGCCTGAAAAAAAAAGGTTTGAAAATTGTTAATTTGTTTTTGAATCTAACAAATAGCCATACTTCATGGAATGTAATGTAAAAAGTCAATCATTGCAAACAAAATTATTAATGATTTTTGTATTACGATTACTGTAAAATATTTTATTTTTTACTATTTTCGTTGAAGGGACAATACAGTGAAAATGAAATCTAGTGAATATACCTTTTTTTCTATATTTTACATTTCAACTCATGAAATTCGGTGAAAATAAACACCATACAAAACACACGAAAAATCCTTTCAGCGAAAATTAATTCCAGCTAAAATAAAGTATTTTACAGTACACTAGCATCTATGTGTAAAGTTTCGGGGAATAATTTATATTATCTATCAGGATACATACTTTTATAATCGCGTATTGATTTGGTTGTGCTGTTTATGGTGATAAAAATGAATAAATAAACCGTTGCGAAAACTCTCCAGTGACTTTGATGTTTCACAAATGTAAAATGCCTAGTTTTCAATGGGTTTAAATTTCGCTGATTTACCATTTGAGGCATATTCAGCAGGTTTTAAATTCACGGTTTTATCATTTAGATAATGTGTTCTATGCTAAATTTTACATATTCACTGGGTTTTAATTTAGCGCATTTTCCAGTCAGCGAAATAAGCAAAATTAAAACTCAGTGAATAATTAACCCCTTTTACAGTGTGCATGAGTTAACACATTATCTGTTTCATCAATATCCCTCGTGGGAAAACTATAGCTGCACTACATCGAGTCTGGTGCACATATAATTATTACTATTGTTCAAATAAATACATTTTAAATATACAGGTATCAAAAAAAAATTGCATCACTCGTTGAAGTTGCATGTGCAAGAAACCTAAGCTGATTTTCTTAAATTTAGAGCCAGTGCTTAACAAATAACTATAAAAGTTCAAATAATAAACCTACCTCATCTTATAGATTTGGATTATATATTTTTGTTTTGTCAAATAAAGTGATAAAAGAAATACTAGGCCACATGTCAAGCAGTTACTTCCGTACTAAGAATGAGGTACTATTTGTATAATATTGGTAATAACTGTCAATTTCAGCAATGACTGGAGTATTGTCGAGTACCTGATTGCAACCTACCTCTGATAACAATCTGTTACGGTATTGTGATAGTAGGAAGCATGCGTGAATGCCTGTAACAGATATGCTTTATCATTGAAAGCATAATGAATCCTTTCTTCAAAGCTCTCAAATCCAGACAACAGATGTTTCAATCTCTCCTCTGCATGGGCAACGTTTATAAACAGTGGTGAGTTTGGTGGTTTCAGGTGACCATATCCGACGCTGTTGGGTTGATCATTTTCAGTTACCTCTCTGCTCATTTTTTCCTCTGTATTATTGCCTGTCGACTGTATTCCATTTTCAACAATGCCTACTGAATTTGAAGTTGCATTTTTCTCATCTTTCAATGAAGGTAGAACTTTTATGCCAAGCCAGGACATGAAGAGTAAGGTTCCACGAAAACCGCATGACACTAGGTAACATCCTATGAGTGATTCAACGCAATCGGCAACGCTCTTATCAGATAAGCTCTGCTCACTGTGCAAGTCATAGGGCACGTCCGGCTCAGCTTTGAAATTCTCCACAGTGTCACAATTTCCCCAATACCCAATCTCAAACCCACTCTCAACTCTCACAGGTTGTCTTTTTTCAGGAGGCAGCACTACGTAGCCTGGTGGAAGCCAATTCACTGGTGGGTCGAACAGAGACACTACCATGCGACTTGGTAAGCCATGCTTCTTTCCAAGTCGATAGAGATTCAGATTGCTCACCTGTTTGCTTCTCATGTAGGACAGTTTGCCCTCATGCATACCAGGGTAGGCACAGTACAAGTACGTGGTGACAGCCTGCTTGAGGAAAGAATCACCCAACATCTCCAGCCTTTCCAGGTTGAAGCCATCACTGGCATTAGACATAGTCAAGGCTTGCAAGATCAATGCAGGATTTGGTCCCGGCATTGTTGTTAGTTCGTCGTCATTCGTGGAGTCGTCCAGCTTATCTGGAGGAATCAGCGGCTCGGTGTAGTCATTCTCATAGATCGTCCCCAAACGTTCCGAGGAGATTTTCTCAGTAGCCGCCTTATGCTTCAAGCTTTTGGAGAAATCACCAGTGGCAGCTTTAAAATCAAACGTGTCCATCTGTGCAAATATATCAATATCTAGCTCATCGTCCTTTGCATCAATAGCTGGTGCCGGAATGGTCACAGGTGCAACACGACTGCTTGTACCACTGAAAGAGATGAGATGCTGGACATCAACAACAGAGTCGTCCCAACCAGAATCATTTTCAATTGAATCATGATCAATATTGTTAAACGTTTTGATTGGTTCTTCACCATCAGGCAACATTTTAAGCTGGTTCAATGCCTGCAATGTTTCATCCCCAACCTGGAATTCGATAGCATCACTGAAATCGTAGAAGTCTTCATCATCATCGTCACTGGTTCCGGTACTTTCTATTTCATCACTGTCACCAGCTGCATCCCTGATGTCTCCCACTGCCTGTTTATTTATCTCGAACTCATCCCAACCAAAACTCAAGTCATCAAACTTGAAATCATCGGAGAGCTTCTCAATCCCGACTTTGGCTTCCTGTGCGACGAGGTCGCGTACCTCAACAGCAATCAGCAGGCCATTTAATCGATACAGCATACTTGGAAGGCAAACTGCTTTTCTCCATAAAGAGCCAGGAATAGGGTAGATATAACACAGCTCTGGTACCAAGAACTGCTTATTTTGTAGATTTTCCTGTTTTTCCTTCTTTGTCTGCGCCGATGTGACAGGTAGAGCTTTGCCTTTGTGGTTAAGGTAGCGCGGTGTTAACAGATTGAGTCTGGAAGACATGTAATCTACATCTAAGAGATGTTGAGAGGCAGTCGTCACTTCTAAAGCATACCGTTGAAAGTAGTACTCGGCAAAGGTTGGATAAAGCGTGGATGGAAATTTACTGATCGGCGAAAGTTCAGATATCTCAGCAACATAGTATCTCTGTGGTTGATCAAAATTGCGATAGGTTGGTGTCACAACAGCATCTTCATATTTAGCAGGATCAAAAGTGTAAGGCGCATTATTAGTGTACTTGACAGGTTTGGGGTTATCCAAGTCACCACTGCACTGACTGATCAATTCGAGAAAAGACCAATCAATTTCTTGGATTTCCGCTCCGTATAAATCAATATCTGAAAAATAGAACAAAATAACACTGAATTTTAATTAAACAACATATTGCTACAATATATGGGTATAAATGTTACCCAGTTTCTACATTTTTGATTTCCACAACTAAAAAAGCATTACATGTATATCTCAATATTGGCACTAGAGGGCAGTAACACGAATAACACATCATACTTATTTGCAGTAATTCAATTTACTCACCTGACAGTAGTGGCACTATGTAGTATTTGGAAAGAGATTTGGCGGGATCAAACTTCATGGAGGGTTTCTCCAGTCTCAGTACCTCAGAGAAGATGCACTTGTGGAATTTCCGGATCTGGATAACCTTATCCTTCGGGATACGTAGTCCCGATGATGCTAATTCCATGGAGACAGTTACTTTCCCGGAACGAGTATACACTGGAAAGCTGGGAATCTGAATGAAGAGACAGGAACAGTCCAAAATCTGTCTGATGGTTCCTGAGAACACTTGCCTAATTTTTTGTTGAGTACATATTCTAAAACCCCTCGTGAAATTTTAATTTTTTTTAAGGACATTATGAATTGTATGAATGAAAAATATGTTTTCAATTATTTACTTTCTCATCTGGCCCCACCTCCCTTTCTCACATACAGTAACTAAGCAAAGAATAAACCAGAAACTCTGCAACTGTGAAATAAACTCACCCCGGGTATCTTTTTTGAAATAAGAATCCCAAATCCTTGTTCACTGTCTTCGGGACAATACAGCTTGCGGCCACGTGTGTTGAGAATATCCGGTAATGGCAGTGCTAGTTTCATCTTGATAACATACAGATAACATGGCTTATTAATGCCTGGCAAGCCATTCTGCAAAGAATCTGCCACCTGAAGGAATCAAGCAATGAAAGCATTGCCTAGGTTTGTAATCTGAGGTCACCAGTATGGCATTGACAGAGAAATTATTAACCCATTGAGCACCAAAGTAACACGCATAATTTTTCAAAAATTTTGATCAAGAGCTGTAGGAAATATCAAATATCATGTCCATTTGTTATAAAACTAACAAAAGAATATTCTAACAGGAAATAGCCAACGACCAACAGTGATATTATGAAAGATCATTGCAGTAATTTGAGACAAACTACTGTTTTGCTCGTTTTCCTGATGTTTAATTTACCTTTATATTATGTTCATTTTCTAAAAATTAATTTATGGCTTTTATTATTCGCCTTAGAGATTGGTGGTGAAGGAACATAATTTGTTGTAGCAAATTCTGAAAATTCTATCGATGAAGAGCCATTGCTCAAAATGTCTTGTTATTTTAAATAGTTACTTAGGACAATGATTACCAAATATTATCTACTATATAAAATTTATTTTACATAGTGGGAAAACAAGAATATGGGAAACGGTTCCGAAGGTGCTAAATACTGGACATGTAATCAGGGCGTATGTTTTAGTCAGGAGTTTTACACAGTTCGTTTGTACATTTCAGGAGCAAATTTAATTTGCTTGGATAAAAACATCTAGGGTTTCCCCACATTCATCTCTATAAAACAGGAAAACTCAGGGAGCTTATAAGCGCATGTACATTAAAGACATTCCTTTTATCTCCATTGTTGAATCCGAAATGGTGTATTAATTTACATACACGGGAAACCCTTTTTCACTCTTAGCCTGGTGACAGGGTATACTCTGTGGCATGCAGTATAACATTTTGTTGATGTTTTCTCACCTGCTTACAATAATACTGTCTTCTCTTTGTAGTACCAGGACGTGGACCATCTGCATCCATTTCTTCCTCAAACATGTCTCTATCTTCATAAGGAACTACTTCTTTACCGACCGGCAGTAAATTTTCATCAAGTTCACCTTAGAGTCACATGACATTGAGAATTAATGGTCTTGCATTACAATCTGATTCCTCATAGACAATGTAAACTTGAAAAGCGAGGATTTTTTACATTTACTGTCATCGCCATATTGTTTTGGACACTGAAAAAGCAGCACCGCCACCCAAGTTTCTGACTGTTTCCTATGTGCATCTCAAGACTATGACATGATTTCAAATGATTATATCTACCCATTTTTACAAGAATACGCTGTTCAGCTAAATACGCGCAGTATGCCAGTAACACAAAATATTTCTTAGTGTTATGACACAAACTAGACATACAACAGTGACAGTGTTCATTTAGAAATGCTTTTTAAGGAAGCTATGTGATGACCAGCAAATAATGAATCAGATATTCTGCTATAATTATTCCACTACGTTACATAGACTTACCTGCTTTATGTAAAAGTTCACATGTTTTCAAAGCTACAGCCATTTCGGCAAATTTCTTCCCTTTCATTGGTGGACCCTAATTACAACACAAGTAAATTATGACAGGTATTTTAGCTACAGCCTTTGAATCGTTGAATTTGACAACATTCAAATTTGTCCCGACGATGGACACAATGTTCACCATGAATGATAACAATTAAGGTTCCATAGTCAGGTGTTCATGCCATAATAAGTGCTGAACCTGATAACATTTTAGTGTAATGGCATTCTTGATGTTGCATTTAAATCAAAATCTGCCAAAAAGACTGATAATTAACCTTTTCACCACCAGTTCCCTGTTTTCATCACAAAGTCACAAAATAGTCCTGTTCAGTGTCTTCATTTTCCTTCCGAAAATTGGAACCAAGATAGCCAAATTTTTTGAGTAAAACTGAAAATGGACTCGAATTTTGTCTGTTGACTCCAAAATTAGGATTCATTTCTAGAAATATTGAAGAATATAAGAAAAATATGCAGACAAATTTGGGCAAGTAAGTCTGGTGGTGAAAAGATCACATGGGATATTTTGGAATTATTTACAAACACGCGGTATGGATTGTAACAAGACGTTGGTGCACATCATTCATGTTTGTGAAATTTACTCTATTCTAACTCACCTGGACGGGTTGCCTGAGAGGCGAGTTGATTGGCAAATACAATATGGATTGATACATGTGTGGGTCTGTATTTGGCAGTTGTACAGTCTTGCACTTTGGCGTCAGATGAGTAAATGCATCGCTTGGCAATTTGGCACAATATCTGTAATATCCAAGAGAGTGTGTGACATTAATGGCAAAGATTGACTAGCCATGACATAAATAAGGTACTGTAAATTCATACACTAATTTGGCATCAAAACTTGACCTAATTACACAGTGAGAAATATAATTATTTGTATGTACCGGTAATTATTTGAGGTACTAAGACAGTATCAACTGTTTGAATATCGCCTTTTGTAATTTTTCAAAAGATAAACCCAACAAAATTTTGACCAGGCACCTGTAGTGGGAAATTATTTGTTTCAAAATCAACTTTTTAAAAGAAAAAAAAGCAGCCTGTCAGCTGATATAGCTTAACTGTTTCAGATGCATGAGAAATAAATATAAAATAATTCAGTCAAGATAACAAGAATTTTCACTAAAATGCCGGTGAGAAAATTTAAATTATTGACTTCATGAAGTATTGTAGAATACTTTATTTTTGCTTGGAATTTATTTTCGCTATTTTCGCTGAAGGGATGATTCCGTGAAAATAAAATCCAGCGAATATACTTTTTTTCCAATATTTCAACTCATTAAAAATCAGTGAAAATAAATTCCATACAAAACTTCCAAAAAGTCTTTTCAGCGAAAATTAATTCCAGCTATTAAAATAAAGTATTTCACAGTAATCTGATAGAAGAAGAAATCAAATCAATCTGACAATGGTCCAATTAAAGTCCCTGCATATACAATATCAAAATCAGGCTGGTGATTTTCAAATACACTTCAGAAATATATTTTTTCTTTACTAACTATATAGTTATCAATATGAAAATCCACATATCCACCCAAGGCATCTACATGTAATATATTTTAAAGGCAATCAGGCTAGCTGTTTATAATAAAAGTTGAAAATATCACTTTTGACCAAAGAGTGTAAAAAGTTGATTTGGATGGACAATTAGTTATATAACTAGCATCACAGCATTTAGCATCAAGCTAAAGAGTGTGCAAAACATTCAATGTTGCTGGGAAACAGAAAATGAAGAGAAACAGTGTGGTCTCACCTATTAATTAAAGGTATACTAGAACTCATGGTGACTCTAGCTCCACCTTCTTGTTTATTTGGCGTGTATTGAGGAAGCAAACTGTCCACCATGTGAGCATCAATGTCTTCCTCCGCTGGTGATTCTTTCCCATGGCAGATCCTTTCTAAAATCTGATAAGAAAAGCAGAATCATGTAATATATCTGTCTACATGAATGGCTCATATGAGCTTTATTTAGATATATATATATATATGCTTATTAGTACAATTACATTGTATAGTATTCATAAACTATCTATCAATGAAGTCCAGTAAACATGTCCACAGTGCAAAATTGCACCCTCAATGAGCCTGTCCAAATTACCTACAATTAGGCTGTCAATACGAGGTAGTCGTGCAACAAAAATAAGGATTATATTTTGTCATACATGGAAAGACACATTAAGATACACTATGGCAGCTGCACTAAGACCCTTGCTGACATGTAAGTATTGATATTTGTGTACTACTGGTAATAATAGTAGTTCATTTCTGAGTTCTAGAAAATAAACATGTCAGGCTTTATGGATTTTTAACAGGTTGAGTCTTAACGCTACAACATAAACAATGAATGAATACATGTTTATACATCACATCATCAGGAGTAAGGAATTATAGCCAACCACACTGTTTGAATATATGTGTATCGTGTTATCAATAGTTGTGTATTTACACAGCACAGGGATGATACGAGTAACAGGTAAAAAATACCTACTGAATGAGCAACAACTCCTACATGTGTGTACTCACCCTGTCAATAAATTTGTACTGTTTTAGATCCTTGATAAATGCCTCTTTCTCTTCATCGTACACCATCATTATGAAGAAAGACTCAGGGCGCCCTCGCTCTACCTTTGGATTGCACATATGACCTGTACTCTCGCATGCTGTCAAAACGAATCACTAAATTACACTTTGGCACATCCACGCCTTCTTCAACAACACTTGTGGCAACTAGCAGGTTTGTCTCATGACGGCGAAATCTGCGTAGGACCTCCTCCTGTTTTTTGTACTCCATGTCAGGATTGACAGATAAAGTTGACTTTATGCTGCGTCCGGTGATGTAACTGGTGGAGAGGTAGGCCAGATCTGGGTCCTGTTTGCTGAGGTCTTTGAGAAGTTGGTTCAGCACTACTGCGGTGTAACGTTGTTGCACAAACACAATACCACAGAGGGAGGAGAGTCCAGTTCCTATATGCTGATCACCATAGTGATTTAAGTGTTTATGTTTATGTTGTTGTTTTCTCCCTGATGGAGTATTGTTTTCCTGAGTGGTGATACGGGAATTATTAACAGCTGGTGCAGAAACCGATGAGTTGTCTTCCACTGCACTGACTTCAGTATTAGAGACTGCATTACAGGACGCCAGCTTGTTATCCACTAGAACATTGTTTGGAGGCAATTCCATGTTTGTATCAGATGGAGTATCAGCTGTTGAATCATTGCCCAAAATGCCATTCTTTTCTACGCAATCTTGTTTCTCCACAGGTGGATTTTCTTCTGGTTGTGGTTTGAATTGCTTTAAGATCTCCAACAGTTTCAGCACTTTAGGGGTGACGTATTTAAGATTAACTCTTTGTGTACTACCGAAAACTTCAGTACACCGCATGTAAATGAACCGCAGAGTGGTCATTGCAAAACGTATGAAGAGTTTGCTTAACCCCAAGGTTGAATGGAACTCCACCTTTTCTAATTCTCTTATCATCACCTGGCATGCCAGGTTTGTGCACCATGGGCCTAAAACAGACAACGTACTTTGGCACTCCAAAAGAACACTCTTAGGAATTACCCTTGGATCTCTCTCGTTATCTTCCAAAGTGAAACTGCAATCTTCTAAGAACATTCTAGCATTTTGAAGAATAGTGTTAATTTCTTCTGCCAATTTATTTTCATCCTGGAATGCCTGGCAATAGAATCACAACTTCTTTGGGTCGAGCGCCGTATTGACCAACAAGTGTACTGTCTGTAGCTGTCTCGGCAGTCCCCCTCATTGTCATTTCAAGTTCGCCCAACTTCTTTTCCAACCTTGTTGGATCACACTTTCCATTCAGAATGGAAGATGTCAAACCTAATATTCTTGGGTAAGATGTTTTGGGGCAAACATCGTAGATCTTCATAATCTCTCGATATGGATGATTTCCTATAGCATGATGGCATTCGTCAAATATCATCAGATTTACGCTTGACAGACTAATCATTCCATGAAGTAGCAAGTCTAGGAAAATCTGACACGTCATCACAAGCACTTGGTGTTTGCTGAACTCTTGATTCCATTTGTCTTTCTTCCATAGATCTACATCCATGGCATCAACATACTCACCGACAGTCAAATCAGTGTGTGTACGAATTACATTGGCTTGCTGTGACACCAACGGCACTGTTAGTACAAAGAGGAAGAATTTAGTAAAAAGCTTACGAGGTAATTGCTACTGTGAAGCAGGTTGCTTTTACCTGCACCAACTACATGTACTAGCATTGTTAATAAACTTTATGTAATGTGTTAAAACATCAAGCAGTATCATTGATCTTTTCCTCGGACCGTATGATTCTTTGTAAGGGGTTTTACCAAATATTTTGGTATTTTTTGACCATGAAATCCATTCATATTTTAGCAATTATATTGTTTAAAATTGTCAAATTTTCAACATTCAGTGTGTATACAAGGTTTCAGGCTGAAAAACAACATGAACAGTATGTACAGTGTACACTCAAGTATTTTGTACCCAGTTATAAAATTGATTCCATAAGAGTGAACACACAGATGTATATCATTATGTAAAGTTAGTACCTTTAAATGATACAATGTCATGTAATTATTCTTGTAGTGAGTTGAATGAAAACTTACCGGAATTGACAAGGAAGAAGGTCATTTTGCCACCATCGCCATTATCGTAACTAGTTCTTATCTGGTGAGCAAGTTCTTTTATTAACATCACAGCAATAAATGTCTTGCCAGAACCAGTTTGCAGACACACAACAGTATTCTTGTCCAGAGCTCGTTCCAATAGCTCCACCTGATATGCCCGAGGTGTGAAGTTGTGAATTGTCTTCTGGTGGAATAACTGCAGATCCTCGCTGGTTTCAATCTGGATGTCCATGTCTTGGGGCCTTTCAGCTTCAGTCTCCATCATGTTGTCATACTCTTCCATATTTCTCAACTTCAAGCTGTAAAGCAATCAGATTCAAGTTTATTCTACAAAGAAAAAATTGTAAGCCAACTGACACGAGTGTGAAAACATTGCAGATAAATGAATCCCTGTATCACTATATACAAGGAAGGGTACATCCAAGTGAATACCGGGTACTGAGGAATTCACTGCTTCAAATATTTTCAATTTTCACCGACTTGCACAAATTGGTCTCTCACGAAATTTCAAAACATTACAACAGTCTGGCCTTCGTCGATGTACTTGAATCAACAACTTGACTAATTATTTTACAAAGTAGCCACTCAACACATAAAATTTATGAGGATGTAGCCATGCATTTTACATCTCCATTACTTAAAGTTGAAGAAAGATTAATAACTGAAATAAATGAACACTAGGAATACAAAAAAATTGCATTTATTTGATGATAAAACTTGTATAATCTGGTTAAGGTTTCTGAGGGTCTAGGATGCAGGTTCAGCTGCTTCCACCCAATGACTAGACACAAGCTGTATTTGCTTTCACTAGAAACATTTACACGAGTTTGCACATTCAAAATCAACTGACTATGCCAGTCACTTTTAAACAAATTCTATTATTAGTATTGCATCCATTTCATAAACAGCGTTCTCCACGGGTTGAAAATTTAGCAAAGCCTGCCAAATGCGAGCGCTGAAGGCACATAGCCACGAGGGAGGGTCCAAGGGGCCTCCCCCGGGAAAATGTTTTGAAATTTAGATGCCTTTAGATCCAATCTGGGGAATTTTCCTGGCGTGAATCTTGGCAACCTCAAGACAATTTGTCTTCGTAAAATGCACCGGCAATGGAAAAAAATTGATAAGTTTTTATTTTATCTTATTTAAACTACAAAAACAATTTATCGCCCGACTGCGCCAGTCTATTGCTTACCTAACACGTTGACACAAAAATGTGTACATTTAGTTCACACGGGATTCGGTAAAATACTGAAAGTCGTACAAATTGTACTTCGATTTTTGTACAAATTTGGTAATCATTCGTTTCTTAGATATACCAATTCAGTTTGACAATAACACCATTGACTTGTGTTAAGTAAACGAAACCTTTCGCAAACCAAACAGACGTGCTGTGCCGTGTCAGACGGGAAGTGACGCTGACATGTCTTATTCTGTCATTTTATGCATGTATTATCACAAATCCCAAGTGTAAATGTTGTAACTCTTGAAGTATTATGAGTATTAGACTCGTCCATACATTTCACTTATGTTTAAAATAACCAAGCTTTCCTGATTCGAGCCTCTTGTTGATTTGATGACGGTAGGTATCATTAATGTTTATTCTTTGTCTGTATTGCATTCCAGACAAAATGTTCAAGATCAGTAAAGAAGAAATGGACGAACTAAAATGTCTTGTGTGTTTCACGTGCGACATGATCATTTAAAAAACAGACTTAAACCGCGGGTCTGGGTGTATAAAAGGAAAGATGGCCGCCACTTTTCAGTATGCAAATGACACTCAAGCGTGAAACATCTCTTCGGGGTGCTCCGCAAAATCACTCTTTTCGGCAATCTTAACGCCTGTGGTGCTTTATTTTCATATCGTACACAAACATGAATATGTCCGCGATACAACTGCGATGTTAATTTACGAGTTTGGTGCGATGTCAGTGCGATTTCCGCGTAAAAGCGACGGAAAAGCATGATTCAAACAGTCGTTTTGACTGCTCAAACTGGCTGTCAGTCATGGGTTTATGCAAATGTAAGGTGTTAATCCCGAGTTATTTGTTCAATCTCTAGGTATGCTTATGTAATTACGGAGTTGATCATGTAAGTGATATCGTGGAGCTAATAAGAAATGATATGCTGTGAGCTGTTTGTCCGTTCGTTCATCTCAGGGAAACAAGTGCAAATGGGTTTAAACAATAGTTTCCCCTTTTGGACAATACGATTTCATGACAGTAGACGTTAGAAGTGTGAGACAACATCACCTTATCAAAGCCAGCTCCAGCATTTCCGTGGTAATATTACTTCATATGTAAATTATAAAACTGACGATACAGATTTATGTTGGTACATTCAACGCTGACAGCCACTTGCTCACTCGTCATATACGTAAACCTCTTTCAATTATTCAGTTTTTTTACTTACATCATTTTTTAATCCTTTTTTACTTCGTTTTTTTATAATATAATTAGTTTTTAAAGTTTTGACACTTCAAAAAATTTTGTATTTATATTTACTGTTATTTCGATTTTTTTAAAACACATTTTATATATTTTATAACGTGCACATTTATAAAAAAAAAGGATGTTAGGCCATATATGACTAAAGAAGCAATCAAGGCACGCAACCAACGAAGGCAACGTGACTCAACTATTCGCAGTCAGATAGAATTTTCCGCTCCTTCCGCAGAGGAAAAGAGGTTACTGCTAAACAAATTGTCAACTCTACGGTCTCGAGTTGATATCGTCAGAAATGCAAATTACTCGATCCTGAGCGAAGTTATCGACTTCTTTCTCATGAACCACAAAGTCAGCTCGGAGGATTGCCGCCCTGATGACGGTAGCAAAAATGGTGCAAT